ACTTGACCTCTGAGCGCTGTGATCAGAATCATTATCAAGTGTTCATGAGCGAGATTGCGAGCGAGAGGAATCGCATTGCGCTGCCGCGTGTGGAACGCGAGTTTGGCATCCGATTGCCGCCCGAGCGGTACTGTTTTACGGGAGTAGGGTGGGGTGTGCGCGGCGCGTGGGAGGAGCTGGAGGACGAGGAGGACGAGGAGGGAGAGGCGGGGAGTCAGGCGGGCGAGGAGATGGATACGGGAACTGGAGATGCGGTGGGATTTGGGGGGCCTGTTGGAGGGGAGGGGGTTAATGGGAGGGCTGGTGCTGGGACGCAGGAGGATACGCAGATGGGAGGTATGGAGGAGGAAGAGATTGATGAAGACGAGTTTGAGGAGGCCATGGGGGTTGCAGGGCCCGATGGGGGTGGGGGTGCGTAAGGGGGGGGTTCGGGATGTCGTGGCGAAGGGATAGGCGTGTTGGGGATCTTGGAAAGATCATATGCGTGAGAGAGAGGGTGAGAGAGAGACAGTGCAGAGCACCAAGGATCGATGGGATACAGCTATATTGATTGCATTTCAAGGCGTTTTCTTCTTCTCCTACCTGTTCGTATATACACATGGCCGGAGCAGGCCTTTCGGCGAGAAACCATCTAATGGACCTGAGCTCAGCCACGTCGTTTTCTCCTCGTTTTCTCTTTTTCCCTCTTTCTGCTCCTTCATCTTGCGCGGTATTGTGCTTTTTTTCTTTGCCGCGGCGCCCCTGGTTCAAAGGATACCGCGCCCGCAAACGCAAATGCAATACAAAGCATTACTCAAACCCCAATATCTTACAAACAAGCTCCAGCAGCCGGACATGTCATTGACGCATCATACCCATCGTGTACACAGCACGCTGCAGCAACCCGACCATGCACCCACCCTACGTCCCCCTGTAAACACCCCCCCTAACCACCCCCCTCTCATCCCTCCTATTCTCCTCTTTCCTGCGAATCCCTTCTCCCCCAGCCTCCCCCTCACCAGTAGCAGCACCCACCTCAGCCTTCCGGCCCACTAGCCTACCCTCCTCATCCAAATTCCACCATTCCTTGTGCTTGTGCCGTGCCTCCTCCACCCTCCTCTTATGTTCCTCGCGCTCTGCCTTGCGCTCCCCCGCCAGCGCAAACCATTCTTGCCGCGCGGCGTCCATTTCGGCTTGGTTCTGGTATTGCAGCATGCAGCTGTTCATGGCGAGGCGGGGGGCGCGGCAGGCGTAGATCATGGTTAGGGTGCGGCCGAGGGCGCACTGTGCGAATGCTGTGCCGGGGGAATGGGTTAGTCGTTGGAGTCTAGGGTGGGAGGTGGGAGTGGACAACGAACCTTCAATCTCCTTTGCGCATTTCGCGCGTACGTTCTTGTAGTACAGGTCTTTTACCTGTTGTTCTTGCGGGGCAGACAGGGGCGTGGGATTTGTGGGCGAGGCATTCGTCCCGATTATCATGCGGTCGGCCATTTGGACGGGATACTCGTTTTGCTCGGGTTGCGATGCTGGGAGCAGGGCGTGTGGGTTGGGTTTCCCTTTCCGTCCGGTTGGGTTCGAACTTCGGCCTGGTCCCTGGGCCGGGGAGGGGGTTAGAGGATTAGGGAAAGGTGTTGGGTGGTGGTGGTGGTGTTGTTGTTTGGTAAGGATGGAGGCTGGGGGAATGGGTGGAGGTGGCCGTGGGGTGGGAGGGCACAATGGGCAGATGGAGATTGCGGAGGGCGTGCGGAGCTGGGGACTGTGGTGGTGAGATGTTGAAGATGCTTTGTTGGTTCGGAGCAGGGCGACTTGCCGGGGTGGTTGGATTGGGAGTGGGATTTTGGGTCAGAGGTTTTGAGCACGTTGATTGCCCGATGTGGGATAAGCCGAGGTTGGGGACGAAACTCCGGCGTCGAGGACTACCTATGTGGTGCGAGCACATGCAAAGGGCTGTTTTCTAGACTTGCTTTGCTCCCTCACTCTACATCCCAACTTTGCCGTTCGAAAAAGCATCTTACAGTCGAGGTTTGTGACACTTTTCTAGTCATTATATGCTAGCGACAGACATCTATAGCCTCAAGTCTTTCTTGTTCAAATCCATTCAACTTTCAACGCGTCTGGCGAGTTCTAAACATTTCCACTATGAAGATCGCAGACCGGACATTCATCATCAGCGGAGGAGCATCAGGCCTCGGTCTGGCCACTGCCCGCGCCCTCCACGAACAAGGCGCCTACGTCTCGCTCCTGGACCTCAACGCCGACAATGGCACAAAGATCGTCTCAGAGCTCGGTACACGCTCCAAGTTCTTCGAAACCGACGTTTCAGACACAGAAGCCATCGCAAAAGCTGTGGCCAGTAGTGTAGCCTGGGTCAAGGAGACAGGAAAGGAGATTGGAGGTGTGGTTGCAGGCGCTGGCGTTGGTCTACCAGGCTTGATCGTCGACAAGAAGAATGAGCCACTGAGCATAGAAAGCATCGATTTTGTGCTGAATATCAATCTTCGGGGAACTTTGGACTTGATTCGCCAAGTCGTTCCGCACATGACGACCAACACGCCTTCGAACCCTGACGGCTCCCACGGTGTGATTATCATGATTGCTTCCTCTGCTGCATTCGATGGGCAGATGGGTCAAGTCGCATATGCTGCTTCAAAGGGCGCCGTCGCGAGCCTGACTCTCCCTCTTGCGCGCGATCTATCCAAATACGGTATTCGAGCTGTAACAATAGCGCCGAGTATGTTTGACAGCGCCATGACGAAAATGATGAGCGACAAGGCCAGGAAGAGCCTGCAGAACAGCATGGAGTTCCCCAAGAGAGCTGGAAAGCCAGAAGAGTTTGCGAGACTGGTGGTCGAGTGTGTGGGCAATGACATGTTGAATGGAACAGTGTTGCGATTGGACGGTGCCATGAGAATGCCCGCAAGGTTGTAATGTTGTTGATTGGGTATCATAGTAGCTGTACTTTCTCAATATAATATTAACGACTTGACCTGGGTACTCTTCAACGTTTCCTCTCGCGAATCTTGAACTTGACACCATTCTTGTTGACCCCTCCAACTGTGTTATTCATCTTTGCTCGTTGGGCGTCGAGTTCGTTTTCCGCTGCAGCGAGCGCTTTTTCCCGCTGCTTTGCTGCGTATAGCTTCATGACGGTTCGTGATTGTGCTCTTTCCCTGTCTTTCCGGAATTTTCGCGCCTGCATCTTGGCCAATGCCTCCTTCTCTAGCTGTTTCTTCGAAAGTGTGTGTTTTCGTGGCCCTGAATTATCGTCATCGTCTTCCCATTCGTCATGCCACTGTTCTGGTTCTGTTTGCCCTGGAATCTCCTGTCCATTCCCAAACCAAGCCTCTGGATCAAATTCCTTTTGCTCCTCCTCATTCTCTACAAACACACAATGCTTGCGCCTGTTTGTTGCATCTTCATCTTTCACCGCCCTCGCCTCTCCCTGCTCCTCAAGTATCAGCTTCTGTTCCAACTCTTCCCTCTCCTTCCTCGCCATCTGCAACATCGTTCGGATATATCCAGCATCTTGTGTCTTCAACAGCTTCACAACCTCGGTGCTCAACGCCTGATTGCCCCGATCCACAACCTTCTTGCCTTGCTTGTCCACTTTTGACGACATCATCTTGAACGAAAACTCATCGGGATTCCTGTCGCGGGCCTTTTGGCTCAGAATCTTGAGTTTGGCCTTCTTGGAGCGGTGGTCGGCGGCGCGCAGCTTGTAGTCTTTGCGCTTCTCGAGGAGACCCCATTTCTCGCGCTCGACGGGCTGCGCACGTTCTTTGTGGTTGCGCCGTTGGACGGCATTGCGCATGGACGACATGTTGAGTGTATATGTGGGATGTCGCGGTTGTGGAAGAAGATGTGCAGAAGAAGATGTGCAGGATCACCAGAAATTTTGGCGGAGCCTCATATGCCAAGATTTCGAGGCGCTAACGTATCTAACAGCCTAGGGTCTGGTCCGCTCAAACCAAAACCTCTGTTATACCGGTAACATCAACCACATCTTGCCTTGGACGTAATTGGCGCGCCACCAAGATCTGCCGATCTGTATAGATACGAGTCGTAATTTCAGATTCAGGATGTACTCGTGACGGAAGTGATGACCTCAGTGAATCATCAGCTGCGAGCTCACTCAGATACGCAATATATGGTATCTTATTCCTGCAGTAGAAGGAGTAGCCCAGGTATCTACGAGAAACTTAAATACACTGTGTATATTGCGTTGTATAAACCGCTGTACCATGTGGTATGTTAAGCAGAGTTCCTGAGCTGATTTGATCTTTACCTTTCCAAAGACTCTTTCGTTAAGCGTCCAACTCCTCGTAGGTAGCTCGTCTCCCTAAACTACCTATGGCAGTCATTTTTCCCTCTGTCTGACTTCAGGCACACTTATATGAATGTTGTTCGAAAATCACTTCGATCTTTCTAAAATTGTTGCGATTGCTTGCACTGGTGGATAGGGCTGCATAGATGCAATGTGGTAACATGTGTACATACCATATGAGTTAATCGTCATGCACTTCTTCAACAACCGCCTGTAGCACGTTCAGCAGTGACGATAAAATGATAGCGGCAACTATAGTGGCATTAAAAAGGTTTTCCCCTAGTAAAATTGCCGTATTGATTTGTTGATGGATTTTAGCGGAATTGTATATATGGATGTTTCAAGCAAAATGGGTTGTGGTATTAATTTTACGCAATGCGCACCTGTGCAATAGGCGCAGCTCTCTACATTACATTTAACAAGTTCAGGCTCTCTGCTTATCTTTTGCCTATGAGAGTATACCGTTATATAATAGCCGGAGCACCGATCTTGGTCATTGTTGGATATCAAATGGTAAATCCCGTCGAGTATTTTATAAATTCACGGTTGCTTTCATTAGATGTTGAGTATGACACACATATAAAGCGAGACTCTACATACCATATCGCACGAATTAGGGGGGTGCTAAACAAACGTGGTAACTAAAAGCTTTACCTTGTTGTATATCACTGGATACTACCACGGTACATTTCATCCATTACCATGCATAAATAACACATCTGTCCCAAAGGAAGTAAGCTTTTTCTGCAACAATATATAAAGAAACCAATCACAAGCTTATTATGAGAGCTTTTTGCCGGACGCATTCTCGCATAGTAATTTTAGAATTCACATCCGCATATAACCCATTATTAGGGATTCTGCGTAGTTTTTACTTGCTTGGTCCAAGTAGAAGCACAATTATGGCTTGAAACTAATCTATCTGTCTATAAAAAGACCTTATTTAGTTCTTATTCGAAAATATGTACCGTAACACGCATGTCGGGGGTGTTAGGTGGTAAAAGATGATTTAGCAAGTGTCAATCTTGTACCAACCAGCCAATGTGACAGTGTTGTAGTTATGATTTGTCACTCTCATTGTATTGCAATTGCAGTGTATTTAAGACGTGAGATAGTATGCCTTGTTGCAGTATTTTCTGGAGTAATCGGTAATTTTATTACTGGGTATGGAACCAGGTCTACTCGCACAAAGGCTACACTATAGCGCTAGCATATACATCTTGTTAATATGAAAGCTGTTTCCCAAGAAATGCATTGTATTAATACACTGTGGCTAAAATTCCCTCAAACCACAGCTTTTGCAAAGTCCACATGCTGCTCTATAGGGTGAATGTTCTATCATAGGTTTACAAATGATGTAAGAAGGTGCAGCCTGAGTATATACCTACCGGCAAACATATATGCATAGGCATTATGTTGCACGTCATGTCAGTCATGACGTGATAATAGAGATGCTAGTCTCGTTGTCTCTGCTTGCGCCTGCACCGTGTCTTCTTCATATGCACCCAACACAGTCGCCCCTCGGACCTCTTTGCACCCCTATATCGGAGCCTCCTGGTAGTAGATGTATTATTGCATTAATATTCATAGCAATTTTCTAGGAGATTTAAGAATATATGTGTTGTTTTTTGCAACCATGTTATATACTCCACATGAACTCCTCAGCTCAATGGTGAAGGGTGAAGGTATTTTGTACATCGATGATGGCTGTACGCCTCAGACAATCTAACATGATCTTGAAATGATTCTAGACGGTATTTGCAAAGTGACAGCTGATAATTGACTAATTTCCGTAACCAAGTGCATCCGATATATGTCAGTCACGTTCGACTTTGTAGCCGGCCCCCAGAGAAAGAACTATCGGTCCGTCAATAAGATATCAATCTAGAAAACTTCACCCTGCTTCGAGATAGCGGAAGCAACCGGAGGTTCCATTTCAGAAATTTTGGCCACAATGATGCGTCCAAACCGGACTATGGCTGGGGTGGGTATACCGACATTTTCGGTACACACCGGAAAGCGGCACGCCGGTGTAGTGAATGTGTACGGTAGAATCGAGACCAGACTATAAACGCTGTCAATGTTATACATTATCCGACGTCGTGTGATGTTGAATGACTTTGATATCTGGGGTGAGTCAAGATTGCGTTGAGTGAATGTAACGGGCATAGTTACTCGACCTTAGTTAATTCACTAACGACTGGTTGGATGACCTTCCAAATGGGTTGTGGCCACGGTCAAGCTCAAAACAATCGGCAAGCTATCCGTATGGTTTGCAGCTTGTATGTAATATTTCAGTTTCGCAAACTTTTCGAATTCAGTGTACTTTATGGTTTTGTACATGGCCAACCTATCGCAGACTATTCATCCAGCACCAAGGCAGACCTGTTCATTACACTTTTATCGTCTAGCTATGCTTTTTGCTTAGTTTATGTCGCCGGACATGCCTGATAACCTGTAATACCGTGGCCGTTCACTGCGTGCTTAAGTGTACTTGCGGAATCTGATATTGAGCTGCCTGGTGCCGCGCAGACTGTAGAGCAGTAGGACAAAGCCGATTAGAGCAACTGGGGAAATTTATTTGATTACGAATAATACGTCTCGGAGTTTCATACAAGATTTAATACAAAGTTGAGACAGCTCGTTTCGGCCGGGGCAACGCCGAGTTGCTGCGCCCCAATCGGCAGGTCTACCCACAGAACCACATGTTGGCAGGTCAAACATCTAGCGATTCCTGGTGCTATCTTTGTCTTTGAGTCAATGAATGCATTCTAGGCCTGGACAGGCGTCGTGTGTTAGTGGCGGTTTGACTGGTTTAGTCCTGTGTTGGTCAGACCCTTGTGGAATCAAGGGTCTAGAGTTAGAGTTAGAGTTACCGGTACATAGGGGCGTCAAGTTCCCATTACCGGTAGTCCCGCCACCCCGCCTGAGTCGAATTCATGGCAAATTGAGTCATGTCCTTGCTCACATTGCGAATCTGACATGTGAGTGATGCAACACAGATGCTTACCATACGGTATGGTACAAGCAATCCTGTAACTCTTGCTGATCTACCTTCAGTAGATAGCTGGCAAATTAACACGCAGTGGCGGCTTGCGGTGGCAATGTCGGGAGAATATTTGCGACCGAGTCATGATATACAATATTCTAGGTGTAACTGTTCACAATAGCAATCCATACTGTGTCAATTGAAAAGAGTTCATTAAAGAACCTCGTAACTGAATCATCTTGTACCCACAGGGCACAGTTCATGTGATCCAGCCATGTCGCGTCAACCGGAAGAGGGTTCACTTGACAAAGTCGTGACCGAATCATGGTATGTATATTAACACTTAACAAAAGTCCTGACCGAATCTTGGTATATTTACATAGCATATGCTACACAACTATGCGGACCAATTCCGGAAGGAGATTTTGGGCTGCAATGCCAGTCTGATTTTGCGTTTGATGCCAGTCTGATCATGCCTGCTATGGCAATTAAATTCCGATGGCACAGCCAATTACCGTACTGGATCTACAATACGAGCATGCTTGAGCAGAATGATGTGCACTGCAGTTCGCATGGCACTGATTGCTTGGGAAGGTTCGGCAACGCTGAATCTGCTGTGTGCAGTACAGTGTCACGCATTTCAGCTGTCGCCCATTACGGCAAAGTAATGCCATCCTTGATTATTACAGTACCTGCAGTGCACATAGAGTCTTTAGGTATCGCACGTTCTCCATTATTTGGTGGATACTGCGGTTGAGTGGCTCCTTTAGCTCCACCAATTAAATCCACTTGCGGATCCATGCGGAGTGCGTGTCCACGTTGCTGACCCACCTGTAGGTAAATTCTCCGAAGCCTATCAACTGTAGGCATTGGTCCAGGATAGCCATCATACGTTGACAGCACAACTACGACTCGGAGGTATCTCTTGGGAACCCAAACCCATCTCTATATCCGATTAGTTGGAACTCACTCAGAATTGTTCCTAGGGGTATGACTGGTGATGAGAGCCATTCGGCTGCTGTAAAGCACCGAGGAAACCCCTACCGTATATCGACTTTACAATTCAACTACTAATGCCAGAGTGACCAAGCAATGTTTCACGAAATGCCAAGTTTTGTCGAACCCTGATTCTCGGGGAGCCTGCACTTGCGGAGAATAATTTGCTGATCTATGGCTGTGTTCCCTTGGACGCTTCGCCCCTGGCGTGCTTTACTGGCCTTGACATAGACATACTAAAAGAAATAAAAACAAGAAATCAAACCGCAGGGGAGGTGAAAAGTTGTGTACTATGTCCAGGATTCTATAATGAAGGTTAACGACTCTCCGTAGTCATGATGCTGCCAGTACGTGACCATGACTCCAGCATACCAACTCAATCTGGGCAATCGCCACATCAAGCTTCAATCCACGAATACAACCGCAGAGTATCCTTCTCCACCATCTCATGTAGTTCCTTGGCTATGTTGGCTGAAACGTGAAATCCTCTCCTGAACGAAGGCCTGGGCTATGCTAACTGCCTTGGTACTACCGGAACGCCTGACTGTTGGGGCGGTGTTCGATCGGAGCAAAGGTATCTGTTCCTCGAGCAATGAATATAAAAGAGTCGCATATCCGGCGTCTTCAAGTTCGATACCACAGTTCAACCATCCAGCCTTCTACTACATTCACTTCACACTCTTCTCTATATCTTTATAGATTATTCTTATCAACCATCATCAAAATGATCCCTCAAATCGTCCTCCTCGCTCTTGCCGCTAGCATGGCATCTGCCCAAACTCTTACGATCCCGACTCGTTCGGGCAACGTCGTCTCTCTCCCCCGTCCCAGCACGATCACTGGCGCTGTGGACATGGGCAACAAGGAGTTCGACCGTGGCCGGCCCTGCAACACTGATGCTGACACCGGCAATGAAAACGCCGTCTTCATCCTCGCAAACGGTGCTTCTCTCTCGAACGTCATTATCGGTGCCAACGCACTCGAGGGTATTCACTGTCAAGGTACTTCACCAGCACTTTACTCAGTCTCCTTCTCTCAAAACAATACTAACAAGCGTCTAGGATCCTGCACTCTGAGGAACGTCTGGTTCCGTGACGTCTGCGAAGATGCGATCTCCATTATCGGTCGCGGCAATGCCGTTATCACTGGTGGCGGTGCCAGCGGAGCCCAAGACAAGATCATCCAGCACAACAATGTTGGTACCGTTACTATTCGCGGCTTCACTGCCGTCAACTCCGGAAAGCTCTACCGGTCCTGCGGCGACTGCACCGACAATTCGTCTAAGAGCCCTCGTCACGTCGTTGTTGAGAACGTCCGCGTGAATGGCATAACCACGGACCTCGTCGGTATCAACAGCAACTTTGGAGACACTGCCACCATCAGCGGAAGTTGCGGATCCGTTAAGGGTAGGGTCTGCCAGGAGTGGACGGGTGTTAACAAGGGCAACGGTAAAAGCACAAAGCGCGACAGAGATGCCAGCTGCCTCGGTGCTCAGGGCAAGATGATCCAGCTCCCAGCTTGTTAAGCTTGCCACCAAATTCAAAATTGCCAGGCAGAAGATACTGGAGACGATATCGGTTGCCGCGGCAGTATTGGATACATTGGCACGACACGGATGGGTCTGGCAGCCACACTGTTGCCTACTAGGAATACTCGGTGCTTGTAGCGATACAACACTGTCTCACAGTGGAGCTGGATGCTATCCGCTAGTTGGGTCTGTTCTTCTGTGAATATTGTTTCTTGACTTTTGTACATATTGTTCTTGACTTGTATATATTTTCTTGGTTTGTACATACAGCCAAAGTACATAGAATGGTGCGGACGAAATACACTCTTTTACCTTGCTACCTCTGGGTTCCAGCCAAGATTGCGCGAGAATTTGCCGTGGAAGGCTTCGCAATAACGTGTTGATCGCGTAAAGGGCCAAAAGTATGTCGCTGATCCTATCTAGGGAGACAGCATTGACCAAGGCACGACACTGACGATCAACCAACCCGAATGGCATTCCAAGAAACACCATAGGTAACTAGGATGGACGTCGTCTCGAGATGGTCCGTCGTGGGTGCCACGGGCCGGGATGTTGGTTTTGTGTATCATCGCTTTTAGGAATCCCTACAGAGAATATGTATGTAAGACGGGCTGACAGTGTCAGCTAGGTACCGGTACTCTAGGTGCAAGCATACACACCGGTAGTGGGTAGGTACTCTAGCGAGCAAACAGAATGTAAGACGGATACCTGGGGGCTGGGATGGCACCGAGAACGAGGCCAAGATGATGACGGTAGCCCAGTACAAGCCACTAGCCCTTTGCAGCCTCTCCGCAACCGCAAGATGCCGCCTTGCATTGGACGCCTTCCCGCCATTGGTTCCATCTACAACTCTCCAGAAGGCCATGGCATGGATGGATTTCCATATCAAGAAGATCCCGTGCACCTGAAGAATACACAAGAGAAAACCCCCCTCACACCGCGGCTGAAGAACTGATGGCCCTTGGATTTTCCGCTTAACCGAGCCCAAACAGACCTTGTCACAGTCATGGCGCCATCCCCAGACCTGGAGTTGTACGTTGATCGTAACTACAACGGGGTGTGGAGCCCCGCAATTCGATAACCAACACTTGGGTTCCTGAATGTCCTTCGGGCCAATGTGTACCGGGGTTTACTTGGCTGGCAAAATAAAACGAGTTTGATTATCCTTGTCAGCTGCGCAACGACTATGTATATGAGGGTACTTGTAGCCGTGTCACGAAGATCTTGTACTTGTCATCCAAGTTCTCTGTTCATTGAGACTGCCCCTGTACGATGGGCATCATGAAGTTCTCTTCGCACCTCCTGCTCGCAGCTTCCTCGGTGTCTGCGAGATGGATCGTTCCTGGTGCAAGATGGCGGGACACGGCTGGTGATCTTGTCAATGCGCATGCGGGCGGTATCACCGTTGATCAAGAGACGGGCAAGTTCTTCTTGTTTGGCGAGTACAAGATTGAGGGGCAGGTTGAGGGCGGTGGCATCAGCGTGTATAGCTCGGATGACCTCGTGACGTGGGAACCCCATGGCCTGGCGCTCGAGCCCATCGAGGGACACCCTTATATCTCGACAGAGGATATTATCCAAAGACCAAAGGTTGTGTACAGTGAGGGGACTGGGAAGTATCATGTCAGTATCGAGCAATCTCACAAGGACTACCTGTATATATGCTGATCATGTTGAAGATGTGGTGGCATGCAGACAATTCCACATATGGAGAGCTCCTTCAAGGTCTCGCTACGGCGGACAATATCACTGGACCATATACTTTCATCGATGCTACTGCACCCCTAGGTACACAAGAACAACTCCACTTGGGCAACATGTAATACTGACGACCAAATAGGCAATTGGAGTCAAGACTTTGGACTTTTTGTCGACCAAAAGGATGGACGTGCATACTCGCTGTACTCGAATGGCGATCGCAGAGAAGGCCGTGATGTATATCTGACCTCCTTTAACGAGAACATCACCGCACTTGAAGAGGTTGTTCACCGTTTTGACAAGTACGATCTTGAAGCACCTACGATTATTCAAACCGACAAGAGCTACTTTGCGCTCATGTCGCATAAGACGGGATACCGTCCAAACAGTACGAAATCCTGAGGTATATATATCTAGTGGTTTCAGGTCCTGACATTTTACAGACGTGGTTGCTTTCCGAGCCGATAAGCTCAGCGGTCCTTGGTCTCAACCCTTCATCGTTGCCCCATTGAACACGCGCACCTATAACTCGCAATCCGGCTTTTCTCTTCGTATCAACGGTACCAAAAAGACCACGTACCTATACCTCGGTGACCAATGGGATTCCATCTCTCTATGGGAATCCCGCTACATCTGGCTCCCCATGGAGATTGACGATGAAAAGAAGTCTCTTGAAGTCAAATGGCACGACGTCTACGATCTCGATGTCAAGACTGGAGAGGTCACGCCCATCAACGGCACAACTTACTATGGCAAAGACGCCACCACCACCGGTGACGCTTTCAAGCAAGAGGCGAATTTCGGCAGCGACGGTGTCATCCTGACCGGCATCTACGGCAACGACAGCAAAGTCACTTTCCACAACATCGAAGGCGAGGGCAAGCCGCAATGGGTATCTTTCTACTACCAGAACACAGATGACATGGGTTTCGGTGATCAGCCTGGTGGCACACCCGATCGTATCAATGGTACATGGCAGCTGCGTCGCATCGCGAGCGTCATCGTGAACAATAAGACAGAAGAGCTTTCGACACTTTACCAGAGGGACACCCACAAAGGTATTATTTTGAGTACGCCGCTCATGCTGAATCTTGAAAAGGGGAATAATACAATCACAATTGGAGGATTGAATAACGGAAAGGATGTCAAGGGCGCGGATATTGACCGTTTAGTCGTGTATCCTCCCGAGAAATAGATGAAGTAATGTGCAGATTTGCATATTAGATATAGCTCACAGCTTACTGCGCGGGCATCAATTACTTCTTATGTGTAGCCTCCAGACTCTTGCCGGTACCGGCCAAATCATGACCACCAAGATGCCCTTATTCTATTATAATAGTCATGGGATCGGATGACAAGCGATATATCTTGAGCTAACTTGCGACTCATGTGTGAATAATGAGGATGATTTCGAGATGTTGATACACGGTGTACCTGATGTGGTTAAGACTAGGCAACCATAATCCTGCGAAGCGGGCCCTGGAATCACAACCAGCATTACCTATACAAATGCGGCTCCTGTGTCCGACACCAGATCTCACTGACCACCTCCAGAACCGTCATGATAGTACGTATAGCCACATGCACACAGAGAATGACCATCCCATGCGGAATCACACTCAGTTCTGTACAGGAGCATCCATAACTAACCAACAATAACCCACAGTTCCAAGCCGCCCGAATGACTATTCTCTACCTAGACAGAGCAATCTAGCCCCCAAGCCGGTGGGGTTGCCCTCGAAAAAGGAACCCAAAAAAGCCAACTGTCTACGAATTCAGCTGTAGATAAAGAATAATGGATTTTGTCCGTACTCAAGTTGCTGTCGCGAACCGCTCGCATGGTCGCTTGATGCCGAAGCTGCGGCAGACCAGGCAAATTGCAAACTATTCACTACATTACCGAATGAGCTCCGTCTTCTGATCTGGGAGTTTTCGCTTACGAAATCTGCCCCACGGGTACATGATCGTGGACGGCCGCTGGGGTATCAAGCATCACGCTCACCAGGAGCACCACTTCGTTCCGACATTGCATTTGCGCTCTTGCAAACCTGTCGTGCCGTCTATTTCGAGACCTATACACTGCCTGTATCTTGTAACCCCTACGTCGTACAAAACTGCTACCACAGTGCTGAGATGAAGAAGTTTCTGCCCTGGCAGTATGCCGCGATACAGCGCCTGGACATCGATCTCATTCAGGCTTCACTCGAGGGTGACTGCTTCTGGGACTACCTTTTCGAAAAGGAGAAATGGAATCTGGGCGTACGTAATGAGAGCGCGTACGTTGCGCCAAAGCGACATGTAGTGCAGCGTCAATACGAGCCTTTTGATCTCGTGCCTACGCCCGCAACATCCAAGCCAGACCAACGGAAACTGCTAGACCAACAGAAACTGCTATGCGATGTTATCAGAGACGCCTCGTCTTGCCTGTCAGATATCGATGTCCGGCTTCATGCGGAGGATTCGTCTTTCAGAGTCATGTTAGCGCGACCAATTACTCATTTGACACTCCGCCTCGCTGCGGATTCTTGGTGGACGTGGACGGATGATCCTGAAACCATCACCGCGACCGAATAATTAGGTCTTGATCCTGCGCTGTGAGATGGAAGAGATGATCCGACTATACGACCCACTCGTTGCCGCATGCAAGAATCTGCCGATAGGCGTCGCGTTGGGACTTTCCAACAAAGCAGCCCATGTGCGTCGCCGACATGGGGTACCGCCATTGCTTCTATACCCAACATTCAGAGCTTGGAACTTATCCTCGAGACTTTTGCGGTTGAAAAGGCCCAGCTGGATGCGGTTGTGGAATGTGCAAAGACTTGGAGGTTTCCAATTGTGACTTTTCGACAGGTTTTGTTGTAGGATGGGAGAGGAGAGTCGGGGTTTTGGAGTAAGGCGGCGCCTGAACGGGACGGAAGTGCGTCATGGCCTGTTGATGACAGAGGTTTGGAATGCAGTGATAGGTGTCTTGGGTTTGAGGTCCGGGTTGTACGCTTTGTAAGAAAGTACGATAGAAGTCTTTGATGGAGGAAGTGTGAAGCAGGGGCCCGCAAACAGCAACACTTACCAGTGTATAAGCCATTAGCCATCTCTGCATCAAGTCACGAGAGGCCAGGTTGGGGAATATAGACCGAGATGTGACTTGTAAGGAACAAATAATAGGTATTTGCAGAAACGCTGGATTTTTCATTTCAGTGTCTAGCAGAACTCTGGGGTCCATCATCCATCTCTACTTCTTCTTCAATCGTCGGCAACGTCAGTGCTTTATAACCCTTTCTGCCCTTCCTCATCCTTTGCAGACACCGATCCGTGTGCAACAAATGGCCTCTCTTCTGCCTCACAAAGCCCGCAAAGCACACTGCGCTGAGTGCTACAGCGCCCGCGCTAATGTACACAGGAATCTTGAAGTCCTGAGGTCTGTACCACACCATCGTTGTCGCGAAGGAGAGGAGTTCAAAAAGGTTTTGCAGGCTCATTTCGATGGCGGAGAAGGAGCCGCGTGAGGAGGGAGGAGCATCTTCCTGCACCAGAAATTGCACGCTGAGATCGAAGCCCCATAGTCCAAGTCGACTTAGACAAACACCCGCGACCAGCACTGCGCCCGCTATTTTCGTGTTCATGGTCACTGCATCTGTCCCTGATCCAGCCCCAGCTGATGAGAAGAGTCCAATGGCCAGTGCGAGAGATGCAACTTGTTCATTAATAAACCAGAGTCCAGATCGTACGGCTCCGATCCGACTCATAAGCCATGGTGCGGCACATGTAGCCGAGACTTCGAGAACCACGGAGACAAGCCGCATGAGGGAGATGGAGGTACTGGTGTAGCCGAGAGTGAGGAGGTAAGTTGTCATTTGGCCTGAGAAGCTGAGGACGGTGAGGTAAAGAAGGGAGAGGGAAAATGAGGCGAGGAAAGCGGGGTTTTGGATGTATGTGAGGTACGGGCTTAGAGATGTCGTGTGGTGTTTGGGTAGTGCTGAGACATTCTGATCCTCGGTTGGCGTTTCACTATGCGAACGACATCCCGTCTCCTGCTGTTTTGCTCGCTGTAGTTCCGGGACCGCGGTGTAAACTTGGGCAATGGCAAAGTACTCGATGAGGACGCTCAGAGCATTCTGCCCAAAGACCACCCAGATGGCGACGCGAGTAGAATAGCCGTCGAGAAGTCCAATTCCCACAGGAGCGATGAGTTTACAAACCAAGTCGATTCTCCTCATTGCACTGTTCAGCTCTTGCCGATCAATTCCTAGGCTATCAGAAACAACGATAATCCAATCGCGTTCCACAGCCACGGTGTTTGCTACGAAGGCAAGTTTCTCGAAACAGGCCAAGACGACGCTAGCGGTGAATAGAGTGTACATGAGATAGCTCTTCTCTGCCCCATCGCGTAGCATGAGCACCAAGATGAAGCACGAAGTCGCCACACTAAGTCGTTGCCATACTATGCTTTGTCGGACGATGTAAAGCCGGTCTTTGCGATCAACTTGGTTGCCAATCCAGGATCCAAGCAGAGCTGCAGCTGCAGAGCGGAAAAGCGCATAGCAAGAGGCGAAGAACAGGGTTCCAGGAAAGATAGCTGCGAGGAAGATGACTGCACCGAATTCAAATGTTCGCGCATTGAACGTGGACAGCGTGTGGGAGACGTAGAGCCTCCATACCAGCTTTCTCGTTGATTTGGCCGAGGTCTGGGGGCTGGTGGGGTCGTTGTTTAGTGGAGGGGGGGCGCTGGTGGTTGACGAGCGCGGTGACAATGTCGCCATGGCTATAGGTGTGGTGTAATTGCAGCCTTCATCTCAGAGAAAAAGAGGAAGAGGAGGAAGAAGAACAAGACAGATATCGGCCATACTCACAGCAGAAGTCAGAGCGTGGTGGTCATGAGACGTCGAGTGCGGGCAAATGCCCAGCCTTTGCGCAGAACTGAAGTCTTCGTCTGGACCCTGATTGATCGGCAGCTTTAACTCTGTCTGGCCACTGTTTACGACTTTCACTTTGCTCCATGTCAACTTCACCCAGCACGCATGGCACGCACGCTGTATTTTCGTTACGTCTTTGAATAGAGAACTCGTGGGGATGAGATGCCGACCACAATATGTGCTGCCACGCGTCCTACTCTGTGTGGAGGTCCTGCTCTTGACAGCTGTCTTCATGCCGTTGACTTGTGGGACTGGCTCTTTGATTTTCCGAACGACGAACAATTGTGCCAGTTAAGATTCAGTTCTTCTTCTCTAATTAATTACCTAATAAAGAAATCCGGTTATTCGGCACAGAGTGAGAAAGGCATTGCCAAGGTCATAGCTTCACACAATCAACCTGCAGCGCCTGGGACGTCGGCATGCCATCAACAACTCTAAGACGAAGCCAGGTCGGATGCCACGACCACTGAGGAATGCTACACGAGGTGGGCAACAGCTTCTGGCTTCAACCTTCGCCATCGAGAGGACTAAAGCTACTCAGGTCGGGTTCTGCTCCCCTTCAGCAGGCAAGCCACACGCATACGACCCGCACCTCTCGTCGTACACCAGCCATTGACCAGCCGTACCCAACCGACGCGGACTGAACCCAATAGTAAGGATGGCGAAAAGCAAGATCGGAGCAAATTTGCACATAACGTCTTGGAAGGCAGCACCGTAGCTTTGATATCGCTTTTTGGCCTGGGGCTAGGAGGCTACGTATACAATCTCTTCTACAAGAAAACCGTAAGAGATAAAATCGAAAATGCTTTCGCTAAGGGGTATAGCTCGCAAGAGCGCGTGGTTCTCGGTCGAATCTCATATGATACCGAGCCCAGCAAATTGCAGGAGGTGGTAGAGAAGGAGTACTGGGTTCCTAGGGCAGAGCAAGAGCAGATCAACGATATTGTCAGCGGCAAAACAAGAGGAAGATACCACCTCATCATCGGTGAGAGGGGGACTGGCAAACGAGCTCTGCTTCTCGAAGCTATGAGAAATGTAAATGGTGATGGGATCGCCATGTTGGAAGCCCATAATGACCTGGAGGTGTTTCGAACACGATTTGGCAAAGCCATTGACTACGAGTTCCACGAAGACTACATGGGTGGACTTTTCAGTATTAGAGGACCGCGAGACAGTACCCCCTTGCTGGACATCGAGAGAGCAATGAATCAAATGGAGAAGGTGGCTTTGTCGATGCGGAAGAAGCGTGGCAAACCATTGCTGCTGATTATCAATAACATTCACTTGTTCAAGGATGATGGCGCAGGAAAACACTTACTAGATATTCTGCAACAGAGGGCTGAGATTTGGGCTGGGAACGAGCTTGTGACGACAGTCTTCACATCCGACGAATTTTGGACGCTCGAGAAATTGACACCGCACGCCACCAACATGCATGTCATCAACATCAGAGATGTGCGAAAAGATGTAGTCACGGCAGCGTTAAAAAAGTACCGTGCCCGATACCACGGTGAAGACGTGCCACACAGCATTCTAGATGAGGTCTATGCCAAGGTCGGCGGGCGACTGATCTTTCTCAATCAGGTTGCAAAGTCAAGAGACATGCTGGATACTTGTAAGCAAATCAATCGAAGAGAAAAGTCATGGTTCCTCAACAACTGTTGGATTCTCGGTGACTCAATGGACGACGACGTCGAAGAGCAGCAAAAGTACTGCGCAGCAGCCATAATTCTGGCCCGAGCGCTCGTCCTGCGGGAACAAAAAGATACCTCTGACCTTGAGCAATTCACCCTCCCTGAAATCCCTCTTCACGAGGCTCGCCAGATCATTACTCGCGCCGACTTTGTGCACCCTTTTGACCACATCAATGTCTTTCATATCGATGCGAACGGGATGGTACGCGCCGACTCTGTGCCAATGCAAAACACCTTCCGAGAAATTGTGAATGAGCCAGGTTTCGAGGAGCATCTCAAGGCTACGTTGAACAGGCTTGATGAGCTCGAGAGCTTGGCAAGAACGAGAGAGATCGCTTACAGAGATGCACCTGACAGGAGCGGGGGGGTGGTGCCTGTACAGACCTACTGCGCGAAATTGTAAAGTTGTTAGCAGAAGAGACTGATGAAGAACGCGTAGTCGTTGGGTACTGGCAACTCTTGCTTTGTTTCAGCGTATTTAGGACGCGGTTACCACTCGCTCTCGACTTCAATGTAGAACACAGGCTTGTCGAGCACGAAGGAGGCAGGGTCAGTCTCTCCTGCCTCATGTATCCAAAGACCTGGAAAGTTGTCAATCCTGGGGATATACGGAGACAGGCTCGGTAAGGCTGTCAGTTTTCATCATCCTTCTGGCTGCTGAGAGAATTCCATTTTTTAACATGTCATTCTGTCTTGTCATTTTTGACGACCTCGTCGTGTTCAAAGCGATGGTGCTTCTGCTCCCCGCCGTAGTTGCAAAGAACCGAGATGTTGGGACTGATCCATAAGGTTTTTAAACAGCATATGACGAAGCAATCTTATCATCGAAGCTATATTATAGAGTCTATCTAGATTACACAACATGCGATTTACGCTTACTCGTACTTCATGCCAAAGAAGGGCCACCCACTACGCCCCAATCGCCAATCAATGTGGCATTAGGCTGTAGTCGACTGATCAAGATGTTATTGGTACATGTAGAAAGGCCTAATCCGTAGGCCTGTGCCGAGCAGAATGTCTCATTCCCATTCCCATTTCCATGGAGACAGGGTGATCTTGCTGGATTTCTTGCATATCAAGAGGACCTTGCTCGACAATTCCTATGTCACCGCGATACAGCCTTTCTGGAGCTCCACTGGCGGGCCCTACAATGGCCTTGTCAAGAATGGCGATGATGTGTGTGTGTGCTTCTAGGAGAACAGACCATCTCGACAGTCACTACAGCCATTTGTAACTTTCCATCTACAGCCCATCACATGGTTCACTGATATGAGTTGTAGGACATCACCCCAGTCGAAGGCATCACTATGCACAAAATCAACACCGTCCTCGCATTCGGTGCACCCTATCAACTCTTCGCCGCCCGAGCAGGCCAACTCGCGATGAACAGCGCACTTGAAGCTGCCCAACTCAACTTTACATTGGGTTAGACTAGATCTGATGTCCCAGGCCGAGAAAAAATAAGTTTTCACTATATCCGTGCCTGAGGACGCCGCGTTCGAATCGATTAGCTCTGTGCTCAAGTCTGCGGATTTGGCCACTCTCCAGGATGCGCTTCGCTATCACATCATTCCTAGCACATTTGTTTTTTCGCCATCCCTGGAGAATACTACGATTATATCTCTCGAGCGTGCGGACTTGACTTTCACCGTCCTGCCGGATCGTTCTGGCTGGGTGAATAACGCGAATATGGCGTTTCCAAACACTATACTGTACAACGGTATCACCCGTGTCATCGACAGGTGAGTCCACCACAATCACCTTCGCACTACATCGAGCAACCTAATCAGACCATCCCACAGTGCGATTGCGCCATGATCGCGCCTCCCTGGAACCAGATGCTCCTGGATCTAAGCGGCTGGCCTTTCCCAACGCGTCTGCGGTCTTGCAACTACCTTTCTTCACCGTTTCTTTTGGAGACGACTCCATGAAATACACAACAACGCCAAAATTGCTCAAGACTGTGGCTGCTGTTGCGACTCCCACAGGTGAGCCTACGCTGACGGGCTCAGGGCAGCTCCCTGCATTCACTGGAGCGGGGAGCAGGATTTCTCTTGGTGTGGTGGCCGCACTGCCTGTTGCAATGGGATTTGCTGCGTACTTTGTTTAGATTTGTGAAATTTCAGGGAGGGGTGGGTATCGGGAGGGTAGGAGCTGGTTGTGGACATGTTAGGCAAAGAAATGGGTTGAGCGCGTAGGATGTGTCAACGGCGTACTTTGCTATCGAAATAATAGATGAAAATATTATGACTGCTTCATCATGCGCGTATGAATTCAGCATAGTTCAGAAAGTGTATAGGATATGGAAGTACAGTTCCAACACTACAACTGTAGCATAACTCGTGACTTGAGACTCTGGTAGTGACACTGACCCGCACTTGTCCACCCTTTTTCGTCAGAACGACATATGCGGATTTCTCCTTCAAGTTATTCAAACCCCATAAGTAACGCACATAAAACAAGACGATATTCTCATCCATGCCTTGTACGCTATAGGCTATCATGGTTCATGGTGGGGCCTGATGGCATGTGTTCTTCATCACAACCAGCCACAACAAAGGGATTTGGAACAAAGAAACCTCACATAACACGCAGCCTCTCCAACACATATCCGTCCATGGAAACAACCTAGCCTTTGGGCAAGAATTAGGAAATGGAAGGGAGGTCGGTTGTCAAGGTTGTTCGGCCAGCCACAATCTGCTCGCCCCTGTTGTGCTGGCCAATGACAGCGGTATAGATCTATATGCAGCAAACCCCGTAGTCATGAAGTCAAACAGAACACTTCTCAGTTTCAAATACATGGACTTCTCGTTCATAATCTTCTCAATAGAAATGTATCAACTTGCACCCATTGCAACTCCCCCAGCTTTCCAAGCGCATCCATCAATCTCCCCCACGAACTGTAACCCCGCCATCCCACCCCAATCTCTCGAGCCATTGTTCCGGACATTCATATGATTTCCCCCATATTCGTCCCAATGTACACTAACCCTTTGTCCCTCTTCACTCCCACGAACAACAGCAAACCCCAACCCCATACCCCCTAATATTCACCGGATGCGGTCCTCACCCCCCCAACAAAGCCCAAGCAAGCCGCATCACCAACAACAAAGGGCAGCGCAACAGCTTTAAACAATCGACCGCGTATTCAGAAATACATTCCCAAACGCTCTTCTACCTGCAGAAAATCCAGAGACGATTTTTCCCCCTTAGGTTTGGCTAGCAAGATCACCCTTCTTTTATCCTCTTCCACGGCAAAAATCCTCCTACCACTCTGCCCGTGTTCGTACGATACCCTAAAAGCAACCTCAGGCCCCAAAATCCCACCCTCTCAAAACCCCAGGACTTTTTGCAACCCCACCCACATATCCCCTACGAAAAAATACAAGGCATGTCCTACCTCTACAACGCCCTATCCTCCATCCCCGCAAACATCTTTGGCTCTTCGACACCACCACCACGTGCCCGTACTCGCCGCCGCATGCCGTCGAAACGCAGAGCCAGAGGCGATGTGGGCGGGCGTGCTGCTAAGATTGCACGGTATGATGGGTCGGGTGGGGATTATGTAACGGCGGAGTATGAGACTCTGGATGAGGAGGGGAAGGTGGGCCAATGGGAGAGCGTTTGGGTGTCTGGGGAGGAGGAGATGATGGATGAGGGTTGGGAGGATAGGGGGGAGATGTGGGATTATGCGGAGGATGGGGAGGGAGATGAAGACGAAGAGGAAGAGGAAGGAGAGGAAGAAGAAAAAGAAAACAAACATACCTCCCCAACCAACCCCCCCATCATCCTCCTCTCCTCGCCCTCGCCCTCGCCCTCCTCCATCGAGAATAGAGAACCCACCCCAACCCCTCCCGCCCCCACCCCATCTACCCTCCGCGCCGCCGCAAAAAAAACATACACCAAAGCGCGCCGCCTACTCCAGGAAATGCCGCCAGGAAGTCGAGCAGATAAAGTGGCGGAACTGCTGCGCGAGGTGAAGAGGGATTTGGAGCGGGGGGGTGGTTTGGATTCCGACGAAATCGACGAGTTTGAATTCGACGAGTCCAACGAGTACGGCAATGACGATGACGCCGATGATGATAAGCCAAAAAAGGGTTCCATACCGACACACACATCCCAAGAAGCACCACAAGGAGGGAAAAAAGCGGCCAAGACAGTGGCATTTGCCGCCACAGGGAGTGAGTCCAGGACCACGGGGTCTGGCGCAGGGGAGACGGGAAAGGGAGTAACGGGACCGATGGGTGGGGGAAGAGGTAGTGTGATGAAAGACAGGGTGAGAGGGGGGAGGGGTGAGGAAAGGAGAGGGTTGGGGTTGGGAGATGAAGTGCTGTTTACATCTGGAGGTACGGGTACGGGTACATCCATTTGCAGTCAGCGGTAGTGTTTCTATATGCAA